TATAGCACTCGATCTCAACATCTTGACTTCCTTTTCATATAAGGATTTTATCTCGGAATCGTATATTGTTGATGGTACCCTACGAACCAAAGGCCACATGACTTTAGGACAATAATTTTCACAATTCTCATGGGCCAGCATTTCTAACTTTCTTCTAACTCTGTGTTAATTTAATTTGCCATTTTAATTGATATTCCACTATACAATTACTTATTTTTCTATAACATAATTGTCCTACAATAGTCAATTAAATAAATCAATAAAGATATGTTAATTTAAAATAAATAACAATAATTTTTTATATCTATTATATAAATTGTGAAAATTAGAAGTCGAGCATGTTTTATGATATAAAAACTGTTTGCTAAGTGTTTAACAAACTATATTATTCAAAATTACATGTAGTTCTTGTTATTTCATTATTTTTAATTTGGTTGGTTCAACGAAGACGTCAATTTGTACATGTTAGGTATCATAGTATGACTACTTGTGATTTGGAACACACTGAAATAGACTTTAAAATAAATTGAATTGACTGGATTTGGGACTATGATTTCCCCTAATCTTAGGTATTATCAGAAACAATATTGTAATGGGGGAAAAAATCATATATATAAGTTTAAAAAATTTTAATAGTAGAACGAGAATACTGCCATTTAAGGAAAATAATGTAACTAGAAGCAAGAAAAATAAGGACCAAAGAATACACATAAAATTATGGGACGTGCTACTTGTATAGAACCAAAACTCACAAAAAAGCCACAGATCATTCACACTAGTGGGGTCTGGGTGATTTTCTGCCGATTTTTCAACAACAACAGGGGCCCCGCGCATGTGACTGTCTTGCAAATTTCTATGAAATGAATAGTTTCGTACAAATGACTTTTTCCTAAAATTATTCCTGAAGGGAGAGCAAAATTTGTCAGGTTTTGCAATTCTAACTTCTAACTTGGCATGCCAAGAAAGCTTGTAACTATTCTTAGTTTGAAAACGAGGTTTTACTTACATTTCTTGAATTTTTCTTTCTATTTTCTTTTTTCTTTTTTTTATTCTTGAGAAATAGTAAATTTCTCAATTAAGAAGAGGAAAATTTCATTAAGTTGCATTAGTCTTGCTTTAATAAAAACAAGTAGAAATATGTAACTAACTTTGACTTTACTTGAGAAATTCAAATATCTATAGTCATTAGCAACTAATTAACAAAAGACTAATAAAGACCGTGAATTTAGTCATTGGCTTTATAATTAAAGAATGACTGATAAAGAGTACCCTAATTATAATTTAAGTGTTTTAGGCAGTTAAAATAAATTATTATATATTTTCTAATACAGCTTCTTGTTGAAAATTTCTTGAATGAGGTGGGTTCAAGCAAATTGACTTTTTAAACTTTATAAAGTAATTAACAAAAATAATTAAATAGATTTATTCAACAGACGCCACAAAAATACAAAAAAAAAAATATTGACTTGATCATCACTGCCGATTGAGGAAGACAAACATGGAAATTGCATAGAATCAAGGAGAAAATATTGCAGTCCACATCGACTGCCAAGAAATTGGACGATGTCATATGGATACTGATCGATTTATTAAATATTAAGAGCGTTGAGAATATAATAGTGGGAGACATAAAATGATTTTTAATATATGATTTAGAGTTGAAACTTGAAAAGGTTTTAGCTTAATAAGTAGAATGGATGGTTATTTATGTCATTTTACATAAAATAATTTTAGCATATAAAAGTAAAATTGGATATGATAAATAAAAAATATAGTAATAATATACACACTCAATTGGTGTGCCATGAATTGGTTCCCAAACCATACCTCAAAGTGCAAACAATTTGTAATAAGTAATTATATAAAATAATTTGATTGCAATAAACTATCATCATTGGAAATATATGAATATTTTCCACCACGCAATAAAATTTATATATCGATGTTTCAACTACAAGTCAAGTATCGTTTTGGAAATTGAGACCGCGAAAAATCATTCTAGGGTATTTAGAAATCGAAGATGGAGAGATGAGGTAATGGTTATCATCCAACTTCACAAATGGATGAGAAATCTCTCAAATCACTTGGTGGATTAGTGGCTTCCATCCGATCCGGCCAAGACCTAGAAGCTGAATTTTAAAGTGGGCTGTTTATACCATACGTATATATTGTTTTGATCTGAGAATTAAATTCTTCTGTGTTTCAGCAGTAACGTATTGTTTTATAGAGCTAAGGTGCAAAATATGGAAAAAATAAGTGTTTTCACTTTTCTACCACGCAATCAAACTCAACTCATAATAGTGTTCTAAAATGCATAAAACGTGTCCAGACACGGAGGCTAAACTTCAAGTTTTACAAGCTTAGACATCAAAAAAGTTACTTATTTTTATTATTATTTTAAATACTTAATCATTCTAAAAATTATTTAATAATTAAAATACTCTAAACAAAGCATCTAAAATTATAAAATATTATATTTACTTAATAATTCCTTTAAGGAAAAAACCATGAGTCCAGAGAATTTTTGACAGAATTCCTCTCGATGTTGACCCCACATGGCTGCAGATGATTGGATTGTTTTATTTTTTCTCTTTCCATCTTCCAATCAATTCTCGTCGTGTGTTGTCTGTCAAAGTTTTCTATTAAATTTTCCTTTACTTGTAGCATGATTGTTCCTACAATTAGTCATTATACAATTTTCAAAGTTTTCGAATTGTAAAAGTTAGACCATTTTTCATAGTTTCAACTTTCAACAAGACAAGTCCTACTTAACAAATTTATGAAAATTTCATACATGTTTTTGAAGTTTTCAACAAAATTATAAGTTTCAAAATCATACTTACATAATATAAATAGCATAGTAGCTTATATCTTATCTAAATCTTTATCAAATAAATGATTTTTTTTAACTTTTGCATGTATAAAATCATTTAAAAATTTAAAACTAAAGTCAAATAAAATATTTTTTTAAAAAAGGAAAAAAAATAATAATAAGTGCACTTAGGCGTGAAACGATCAACTTAGCAGTTGACAGCCTAATTCGCATTTACGTCAAGGCAAAGTGTTTTGCCGCCTCACCTAGATGCACTTTTAAGAATACTGGAAAGGTTTTATAACTTAGCTCAACGATAATGAGAAGTGAAGGATAGGATCCTATTTAAAAAGAAGTTTCTCTCCATTGTTATGTTGTATCGGGAAAACAAGACTAAATACTTACTGCGTGAGTACATGAGGGGATCTATCGAAATCATGAAGCCAAGTTGTGCCCAAAAGATATTAAGACATGGATGCTACCGGTCGACTCGAAAAGTGATTCCTCAGATTATATCTAGTGATGTGATAAATGCCAAAGATTTTTCAATATGCCTCGGCTTCAACCTCAATAGCAACTGAAGTAGTTAGAGATGGCAAAAAAATCCGCCAAACCCGATACCCACAAGTTACTCGCTTAATCGAGTATTCGAGGTGGGTACGAGTAACACCCTCCCCGGCCTGCTCTATTAATTTTTTTTTTTTTAAATTCAATACTTTAAATGGAAAACTTCACGAAATCTTATTAATTTTAATATAAGATGGCAACTAAGATTATCTAAAGAATATGGTAAACAATAAAAATAATTATTAAATATATTCGAATAATTTAACTTTTAAAAATAAATTAATTAATTAAAAAATTTAATAACTATTTTATTGTCTCACTTTAATAAATGGGAAAAGTAAAATGAATTAAAAAAAAGGTACATAAATGGGTAAATGCCCCACTCCACCTAATATAAGATGGCAACTAAGATTATCTAAAGAATATGGTAAACAATAAAAATAATTATTAAATATATTCGAATAATTTAACTTTTAAAAATAAATTAATTAATTAAAAAATTTAATAACTATTTTATTGTCTCACTTTAATAAATGGGAAAAGTAAAATGAATTAAAAAAAAGGTACATAAATGGGTAAATGCCCCACTCCACCTGCCCTTCAACCCGTCTCGCACCACCTTAAACAGGTAAGGGGCGGGTGCACCCGCTACATTACCATCCATAGAAGTAGTCTTCCTATTAACAGCTTGTTATTTGATGTAATAAAACTATAAAAAATTAATATCCCAAATAATAAGTTGGCATGTAAATGACTCTAACAACTGCCGACTATAAATAGAATATATTATACTGCGGTAATTGAAAATGAGGCACCGTTTGATTCAACAAAATTTTCCCTAGAAAATGGAATTTGGATTCCAACTTCCACCAAAAAGATATTTGATAGCTTATATTTACCATGGAATTGAATTTCTTATATTTCTTGAAAATTGCACTTTTCCTTGTTTTTAAGGAATTTGTAGTCTACTGTAGCATTTTATTTTATTTTTTCATTTTTTTTACTTTTTTTATTTTTGACAATGGAAACCAATTATAAGAATTATCGTAAAAAAATATTTCTCTTTAATTAACAATTTTCATGTAAATTAAAGTCAAACGAACACCAAAAGATAGATGATTTTCTTTAATTTTTTTTTTTTGTTTTTTTATTGGCAATGGAAACAAATTTCATTCTCAATACCAGTAAAATTTATCCCTTTAATTGACAATTTTCATATAAAACAAAACCAAACGAACACCAAAAAACACTTTTATTCTAACATTTTCCACGTGAAAATTTATACCAATCAAACACAATAATTTATAATTCCTAGGAAAGCAATTTCTAGACAATTCAATTCCCTAACATTCGTTTTCAATTCAATTCAATTCAATTTTTGCAATCAAACGGATACTAAGAATAAACAAAAGCAAAACAAGGGAGATGCTGGATGTGGCCCTGTCCTTCCAAGGCGCCTAATTGACATCGGTCACCCAGTCCAATTATCTTTATCCGCAAAACAAAAAGGACTATATGAGCACCCAAGTCCAGGCCCTTCTTCGCGTACAGCGCGTTTTGGAAAGTAAAGGGTTATTCATAATGTCCCACTACATCCCACACTTTCCATTTTCGCATCTATATAAGCACCCAAGTCCAAGCCCTTCTTCTCCATCAAAAACTCGGTTTTGATTTAACAAACAAAAGAAGAATCAGTAATTGGCAAATAGTCGAAGCCCTTCTACTCCATTAAAAATTGGTTTTGAACTAGCAAAGAGAAGAATTAGCAATTATGCCATGTTCTGTAGCGGCAGCATCGAGCTCTCCCATGTTTTACCCGTCCTCAAAAAAATTATCGCCGATTTTATGCAAGCCCGCCTCCTCACCTCCTCCACTATCTCTTTCGCCGTTGCCTTTAGCTATCAAAAAATCATTCAACAATAAAGATGAAGATGGAGGAGAAGATGGGTTATCAAAGGTGATGGTTTTAAAGCGGAAACGGCCGGCGAGGATTGACATTCCGGTACTGAACATGGGTTTTGATGATATAAAGATGAATGAGGATAAGGATGATAAATTGAGCGAGATGGAGGTGGAAGGGGAAGGGTATTCGATGTACTGTAAGAGAGGGAAAAGAGGTGGTGTTATGGAGGATCGATATTCTTCTATTCTGGATCTTCGAGGGGATTCTAAACAGGTGTGTTTTTATTACTATTTCATATAAAAATCTCCAATTTTAGTATTTTTTTTTTTAAAACCATTTTCATTAAATTTTATCACATTTATAAAATTAATGAGTTTTGATTGGATTTACAAATCTCATACTTTAGGTGAGATAGATTTCTTTTTGTCAGGTAATTATGATTTTATGATTACTAAAAGCTTGCTGGGAATTTTTATTTGTTTTTAATATAATTATCACATTCTAGTTGTAGTGTAGTTAAAGGGCAGTTGATGAATTGCAGAAATTCAAATATTTGAGAAAAGAATATCATATTTTTTTAATAAAAATGACTAAAGCGTCTGTTATGATTGCAGGCTTTCTTTGGTGTATATGATGGACACGGAGGAGCAGGAGCTGCAGAATTTGTGTCGAAGAATTTATACAGGAACGTTATGAACAAAGTGGCGTCGAGAACCCAAGGAGGGATTGAAGAGGCGGTGAAAGACGGATACCTCACCACCGATGTAGAGTTTTTGAAGGAAAATATCCGAGGCGGGACATGCTGCGTGACAGCATTGGTACACGAAGGGAATCTCGTTGTCTCCAATGCTGGAGATTGTCGTGCTGTTATGAGCCGACAAGGAGTTGCAAAGGCCCTTACCATCGATCACCGACCTTCGCAAAAAGATGAAAGAAATAGAATAGAGAATCTGGTGAGAATTCTGGTCTTTATAGTTTTCCAAAGCAATTCCTTGAGCCCAATTGAAATCAAAATCGAAATTATTTCTTGTTTTTTACTTCAGGGTGGTTATGTAGATTGTTGCCACGGTGTTTGGAGAGTACATGGATCTCTTGCCGTTTCAAGAGCAATTGGAGATAGCCATCTTAAAGAATGGGTAATAGCTGAGCCAACGACTGAAGTATTCAGAATTACACAAGAGTGCGAGTTCTTGATCCTCGCCTCAGACGGACTTTGGGATAAGGTAATATACAAAACTATGTTGAGCTCATCATCTTCATATCCATATTGTTGAAGCAGTTATTCGATTAAGAGATAGTACGCTAAAAACGCATTTTACTTTCTTTTGCAGGTTAGCAATCAGGAAGCAGTAGACGTAGTTCATCCTTTATGCTTGGGCATTGACAAGCCAGAACCATTTTCTGCTTGCAAAAAGCTCGTGGATTTGTCACAGTCGAGAGGTTCTTCTGATGATGTTAGCGTAATGGTGATCCTTCTAAGTCACTTCATTCAGTGATATTAGTATATGGCACCTGCAAGTGTACATTTTGGAAAGTTGCAGAGCCTTAGGAATAATCAGGACACGGAGAGGGACATTGATCAACTTAAAACTATCTATGAGAGTAATACTTTTATGCATTCTGTTTGCCATTACAAGTAAAGCGTAGGAAATCTCACCAGTAGCAAGAAAAGGGTGACGAAAAATTTTGGTGTTCTGTAAATGTTATCGTAAGGACAGATGATGTTCTTAACTGTTAATCAATAAAGGAGGATTTCAATATTTATAAGAGTTTATGCCTTGTTCAACTTTTTGGCTGCTAATTTGTTGGTTAATTTTGTTTATTAATTGACGAGGTCTATATGGACCAGAAGCAAAAGAGAAGGGGATTCCACACCCAATAAAAGTATAAAGCTGCATGTACAGGGCAACCCTTCACAGGGGTTTTACAAGCCCTTCACTATAGCAGTGGGGCCCACTTGGAAAAAAAAATAGCGACGGCCCCCCTCATGTGTGTTGGCCCCTGTACGAGCAGCATGTTTCTAACTTTTATTAAGTCTTTTAAGAATTCCAATTTGACAACTTTGTCTTTTGTGCAAAAAATTTTAGCTTTCGGCTTTTTCCTTTTTTTTTTTTTTGCATAGGTATTTGATTGGCTGGACTCGAGCTCGAGGATCTTAAGGAAGAGGGGTGTACGAAAATTTGTAAATTATTATTATACATACCGCTAAAATTTAATTTTTAATGAGTCGTATTTGATTTAAATGATTCTGTAAATTTTTATTTTATATACAGTTAAAATTTAATTTTAATGAGTAGAGTTTGACTTAAAATATACAGTATATGTTGATCTTTACGTTATTTTGCCCATATTATACTTAAACTTTATTATTATTACATAATTATATTCAATTTTTCATAACATGGTCCAAAATTCGTGCATACGAAACAGATAAGATCGTACTATATCAATTCGCTCATGCTCGTATGAATTGTAAAATTGATCAAACTACTCAGCTTGCTTTGCACTATTGTTAGCAACAGTGTATATGTGAGCTCTAACTCTTATAAGACTCTAAAGGTGAGAAGCTGTAAAATCATCATTAAAAAAAAAAAAAAGGCAAACAAATATCAAAGTAAAATGAATACAAACTCAAACACCAAGAGATGAGCAAGAGAGTTATAATTTCGAGTAGATGAAGTTTTTATGTATTTTCTAATATTTTAACATGTTTCAAGAGTTGCTATTTATAGGGTTAAGGCTGACGTGGTCACCATTAAATTAGAACCATGTGGCCTCATCCCATTAACCGAAGCCTCCTATCCTTTTTGCCGTCCATTCATTACATTGACAAGGGGTCAGCTGCCTTACATTCTAGGCTGCCATTTGTGACACTTATTAATACAAACATTACATCAATTATTCTTACAGATACTCTTCAGATCCATTTTAAAGGTAGCAAATGCTTCGACTTTAAGTTGGAGCTTCGAATGTACAAAAGTTTGACCAGAAGAGAAGTGCTTCAACAAAGAGAGAATGCTTCGACAAAGAACTACGGATAAAGACAGTGTTTCAGTCAAAGAGCAGCTTTTTCCCCTTCTTCATTTTTGTTGTTGTGGACTATCAGATGTGCCCCCATGTGGCTTTGACGTGGCCTCCACTGAGAGCTTCAAATACGAGGCGTAACATTGCTTATACTTGTTTCACCATAAACCACCTTCTTGTCCTTACAAACATTGAATGGAGGCCATAAAAGCATTTTTAATGGTGCTTCAAATTATATCTAAATTATGATTTAGTGGTCGAAAACCTCTTCAATGTACATTTTTCAACAGAAAATGTAAAAAGAAATGGACTTTTACGTCTTTTCTTAGATCTTCCTATGGGTCCCACAAGAGAAAAAAAATTTATCAACTCTTTTGCACCCAATTCTTTTAGATATTTCATAGGAACAAAATTTGGATTTAGATTCCCAAGAATATAAATGAAGATGTAAAAGTGATTTTGAAAATATCAATTTACACACAATTTTACACCACCATTATAGATGCTCATGCAGTAGTTTTCATCATTTATGCTCGTTATTTTCTGTTTTATATGACTACCAAAATCTCAATTGCTCCAGAATTAGTCTTTTTCACGAGATAGTTCTTTATGACAAGTGGTGTCAAATTCCTGATCGATGAAAAAAAAAACCTTTCAATTCGTATACGTATCAGCGTAAAGCCTTTTTTCTCTAGAAACCCTTCTCATTTCTTCCTTCAGTTTCTGCTTGTTGTGGAGTGGGATACTCACAAATAACAAGCAAGCAAATAAGAAAACATAAATAAGACCACTGATATAGGTAAAGTTTAATTTCAATTTCCCGTGCAATATGTCAATTTTTTAATTTTAATTTTTGTTTTAAAGGTTATGTTATTAATTCAATAAATAAAAATTGAATAAAATTGTTATGTTACAAAGGCGACAATTTAACCCTCAACGAATTATTATTACTACGTTGGACCCAAGTCCGTGTGCCATGAATTGGTTCACCAACCGTGCCTAAAAGTATAAACAATTTAATATAAGTAATATGTAGAATAATTTAATTGCAATAAACTATCATCATTGAAACTACTAGGATATTTTCCACCATCCGTAAAATTCAAATACTGATATCGGACTTCCACCAATTTTGGTTCAACTATCTTTTTGGAGATTGAGATGGCGGAAAATCATACTAGAAATTGCATGTATTTTAACTTGTAAAATACACGATAAGTCATTCGATTTTTATTGAAATTTCATTTATAATTTATTTCAATTAAGTCCTAAGCTTCAACTGTTTTGCACTATAAGTCACTTTGTTTGGTGTCTTTACTTGCATTAAAGTAGGTTGCCTGTTTATGTGATTATTATATTGCAATGTTTAAACCATTAAAATCTAAATAAACACGCAATGTCATTTTCTACATTTGCACGATAAGAAACACAGAAGAAAAACAAAAGGAAAAAGAATCCCTGTCCCTCGTATTGATCCAATAGTTGCCACACCCATCATTTCCATTATAATTCTAGATTCACACTGACGTCACACTTCTCTCCGAATGGCTGCTTCCAACCAAAACTAACTCGATCACAATCTAGATTTGTCCTTGCCTTTAGCCCAAATCCAGCCATAGGCAAAGTAATTTTTATTTTTTATTTTTTTACCAATTGACAACAAGATCACCGTAATTTTTTATCAATACACTCGCACATCCATCTGATATTACAAACAAATATCCTCATTGTGCCACGTTGGAAAGAAAGATTGTGGAGAATTTTACATTGAATAAGGCTATTCATCAACAATGTAATCATCACCGGTAGCCCATTATTATATCGTCAAATTTATATGTAACATTTTAATATCGTGACATTTTGGTCACTCGGTATTGTGGTCTACTACGTAAGAGTAAGATGTTAAATTTTAAAAGCCAACTCAACAAAGAACATTAGTTTCAATGATGGAAGGAGAAAACAAACGTGACCTATTTTGTAAAAAAATTAAAGTTAAGCAACTCGATTACAAGAAATGGAAGTTAAGTAACCTTGACAAGATTTTGACAATACTTGAGTGACGTGTTGTGTATTTTACCTTCATATGGATGTACAATGTACACCATAGACAGACAGAGACAACTATTCTTAGAAAGTGTACATTAAAAGATTGGGAGAGAGTCGGTGAGCGGATTTCGGGTTTGACCATTGACCTGATTCAATCCTAAAAGCATCCTCTGACCACCGCATTAGAGAATATTTAGCGAGTGCGGTTTTCCTACTCGCGTATTGAGTGCGTGTACTCAATTCCTGCTAAACTTTCTACTTTTATTTTTATTTTATTTTTGAATTTTCTTGTATTTTTTCAATTATGCCAATTACGTTTTCTTAAATTAATTTTTTTTTCAAAAAATGCATTGAATTCATGAATTATATGATTGAAAAAATACAAGAAAACAAAATAAATAAAAGAATAAAAGAAAAAAATTAGCATGATTTGAAATACGCGCACTCAATATGCTAGTGGGAAAATCGCACTCGCTGAAATAGTATTTTCTTATGCCAAGTAATGAATATTGAAACGTTATTTATAATTTTTGTAATTTTCTTGTTTAGTCCCCATTTTTTAAATTTATTTCTTTTTTCAAATTTATTTTCAATCATACATTTCATAGTATCTATAATTTTCATCAAATTTTCACTACATATTTAATTGAATTTTATCAAAATCAACTAAAAATCTAATTTTAGATAAATCAAAGAGAAGTTAATATTGTCATCTTTTTTTCTTTTTATAAGTTCCCTGTATAAATAAAATTTATCATGACCTCCATAAATTATGAGTCCTTATCATTTTATAAGAATAATATTCCTGTAGGTACTGTATTTGTATTGTAAAAAATTTATACTTACTAAGAGCCTGTTTGAAATCTATTTTTTGCTAGGAATGTATTTTGAAATAATAAATTGATAGAAAATTATTATTAAAAATTTAAAAAAATTAAATTTGTATGTAATATTATTTTATTAAAAAACTTGTGATTAAAAAGAAAAGAGAGAATAACGGGATCGAGGTTAAATATTGTCATGTGGTTAAGAAAATAAAACATTTCAACTTTAACATTAATGTCCATCATTGACTGCATAAAATTTATTACAGAAGTCAATATAATATATAACAGATAATTAATGTCTTTTATCTATTTATTGACTAAAGTGTAAATTAGCCAAATCTTAGTACTGTACGCAATATACAATCAGCGAAAGTTGTTTGCTTTGCTGTGACGATGTTAAGGGAATATAATCCCACATCGGTAAAATATCGAAATAATGACCAATATATAAAGGATTGGGACACTCCTCTTAATAAAGTTGATCTTATTAAGATGGACCCCAAATCTTAACATGGTATCAGAGCCCATTAAGTTCCAACGAGCGATTCAATCCGATTAAGTCTCTAAAAATGAGCACATAGATTTCAAGATTGGCCTGCTCAAACGAGCCACCATCTTGTGGGGGCATGTTAAGGGAATATAATTTCACATCGGTAAAATATCGAAATAATGATCAATATATAAAGGATTGAGACACTTTTCTTAATAAGATTGACCTTATTAAAAGGATTCCAAATCTTAACAGAGTGAAGATTATAAGGGGTAGTATTATAAAAGCAAAATAAAAAGGATTTCAATTTCTTATGCGCGTGCTCTTCGCGTACAGCATGTTCTCGGAAGCTAAAAATTGTCAGACCACATCCTACTTTTTCCAACTTCAAACATCTATAAATTCAAAGTCCAAGCCTTCGTTCCATCTAAAAAATTGATTTTGATTTCGCGAGCAGAAGAAAAATCAGCAGTTGAACGCATCCAGAACCAATAGTTGAACTAAAATATCTTGAAAGAATCAAATTATGCCTTGTGCGGTCACGGCGGCATCAAACTCTCCCATGTTTACTCAGTCCCCGAAAAAATTATCGCCGAGTTTCTGCAGGCCTGCCACCTCGCCTCCGCCACGTTCTCTTTCGCCGTTGCCTTTGGCCATCAGAAAACCTTTCGACAATAAAGGCGAAGATGGAGGAGAAGATGGGTCATCGAAGGTGATGGTTTTGAAGCGGAAACGGCCGGCGAGGATTGATATTCCGGTATTGAATATGGGTTTTGATAATATTAATACGAATGAGGATAAGGATGTTGATAGGTTGAGCGAGATGGAGGTGGAAGGAGAGGGATATTCGGTGTACTGTAAGAGAGGGAAAAGAGGTGGAGCTATGGAGGATCGATATTCTGCTGTTCTTGATCTTCAAGGGGATTCTAAACAGGTGTGTTTTTATTAAAATTTCATACTGTAAATCTTCATTTTTAGTATTTCTTTTTCACCATTATTTAACTTTCATTAAATTTCATAACATTTATGAAATTGATCGGTTTTGATCAGATTTACGGATGTCATACTCATTTATTAATATAGTAGTTCAAGGGCAGTTGATGAACTGCAGAAAAATTCAAACCTTTGAGAAAAGAGTATCATATTTGTTAATGATGTCGTCGTGTAAAATGACTAGAGTACTTAGTAATCATTATAGACTTAAACAGTATCTATTGTGATCGCAGGCTTTCTTCGGTGTATTCGATGGACATGGAGGAGCAGGAGCTGCAGAATATGTGGCTAAGAATTTAGACAGGAATATTATGAACAAAGTGGCATCGAGAACCCAAGAAGGAGGGATTGAAGAGGCAGTGAAAGAAGGATACCTCGCGACAGATGTAGAGTTTTTGAAGGAAAGTATCGGAGGTGGGACATGCTGCGTGACTGCCTTGGTACACGAAGGGAGTCTTTTCGTCTCCAACGCTGGAGATTGTCGAGCCGTTATCAGCCAACAAGGAGTTGCAAAAGCCCTCACCGTTGATCACAGACCTTCACAAAAGGATGAAAGAAATAGGATAGAAAATCTGGTGAGAATTCTGGTGTTCATTAGTTTCTTTAAACCAATGGCTTGAGCCCAATTGAAATCGAATCGCAGCCATTTCTTGTTTCTGATGGATTTTGCATTTTTCCGTTTCAGGGTGGTTATGTCGATTGTTGCCGTGGTGTTTGGAGAGTACATGGATCTCTTGCCGTTTCGCGAGCAATTGGAGATAGCCATCTCAAAGAATGGGTAACAGCCGAGCCAACAACCGAAGTACTCAGAATTACAGATGAATGCGAGTTTTTGATCCTCGCCTCAGACGGACTTTGGGATAAGGTAATATACGAGACTATGTTGAGCTCAATGTAGTCATGTCCACGTTGTTGAAGCTACAAATTCTTGTTACTTTCTTTGCAGGTTAGCAATCAGGAAGCAATAGATATAGCTCATCCTTTATGTGTCGGCATTGACAAGCCAGAACCATTTTCTGCTTGCAAAAAGCTGGTGGATCTGTCACAATCGAGAGGATCTTTAGACGATATTAGCGTTGCTGTGATCCTTCTAAGTCGCTTCATTCAGTGACTCGTATGTTAGGAATAACTTGATATAGAAGTATATGGCACCTGCAAGTGTAAATTTTCGAAAGTTGCAGAGCCTTAGAGGAGAAATCAGGATGCAGAGAGTGACATTGATTAACTTATACTTAGGAGAATAATTCTTGTATGCATTCTGCTGGCCATTACATGTGCCAGAAGCATAGGAATATCACCAGTATATAACAAGAAAAGTTTGACGAAAGATTTTGAAATTCTGTGAATGTTATGCCTCGTTCAACTTTATGGCTGCTAATTTGTTGGTTAATTTTGTGTATTAATTGACGAGGTCTCTATTGACCGAAAGCAAAAGAGAAGGGATTACCATATCCAAGAACTTGTATCATCTTTAAGAATTCCAATTTGGTAACAAACACTTATGACAGGTTAATTTTCTTTACTATGACAGGTTAATTAAATGGGTCAAACCGACTCAGCTTGCTTTCATTACTACTTTAAACAAGGTTAATAAAGTATATATGTGATTTATAGCTTTTACAAACCTTTAAAATGAAGAAGTTGTAGAATCATCATTATCAATAATGTTGTAAAATCGTAATTGACAGACTCTCACAATTGAAAAAGAACGAATAGTGGCAAATATAAGTTTATGAATAATTCTACTTGAATAGATATCTGTTCAAAGGGCATCCTGCCAATAAGGGGCGCCACATGCAACCCCCCCCCCCCCCCCCCCGGGGGTTTGGACAGATAGCAAAGCCCTAAGTTTATTGATGGTTGCTTAAGCTGTAGCTAATTGTTAATATATCATCAAAGAGGAGGATTCTTCTTGCTATACGATGGTAGTATTTCTTTGCCAATCTAGAGGTCTATGTGAAGTCGATCTTCACTAGCACTTAATATTAATTAATGAAGAAAACTTTTTTGTGCTTATCTTCCTTCAAGTCTTCAACTCATCACGCATATAAATTGGGAATTGAAAAATTGCACAAAATTTTGTTTCATAAAGTAAGTAATTTTTTTTGGTTGATTAAAAAGAATTAATTTTTCAACACATTAAAAAAAATTATGAATTAAATTTTCAACAATAAAATATTATGCAAGTAAATTCAAAATCAATAAGAATTGAGAAATTTTGATTCGTCTCATCAAAAAAAAAAATAATAATAATAATAAAATAATAATAATAATAAAATCTAATTTTTAATTATACTTTCACAAAAAATGACTATTTAAAAACTCATTTTCATCTAAAGACTCATCTTAATGGTTGTTAACAAGGGTTAAAATTTAGAACATCTTCGTAGTTATCGTAAAGGAAAATTCACAAGTCATGTATTAAGTATGGACAATTCAATTTTCAAGTTTTACGTTTCGAAATTCAAAAATCAGGTATTAATTAATTATTTAAAAATATTTTATTAATTAAATATATTAATGTCACAATAATACAATTCATGATCACAGATGCATACTTATAGGTCACAATGTCACATATTATCAAATTAATTGATTACAAATTATTTCTTAGGTAACAAATAAAAAACATTATATGTCACAATTTACTTGTTAGTTACAAATTTTCAAATTAGTTGAGCACAAATTATTTTCAGTCACATATTATCAAATTTTTAGATTACAATTGAATACTTGGTCGCAGATAACTAAATCATAGGTCACATACACCAAATAGTGGTTGACATAGCCACTATCACTATAGCCACTTGCGACTACCTTTACCCCACCACCACCACCACCACCACCACCATCGCCACGACAACACCACCACAACCACCACTATCAGATCTCTAGCCACTTATAACCACCTCCACTCACTTATTAACGATTTAATAAGTCATAAATGCCGACCCTCCCCAACAAAAATGCACCACCACTGCCATCGTCACCGCCACCGCCACCATTTTTGTAACACACCAACAATAACCTACACCACTACCATCGCATCACTACCACCTCACCACCAATACCATATCAAACACCACCTGTAGCACCACCATATCTGCCACCATCTCATATCCCCCAAACCACCCCAAAATCATCCAAAACTGGTTTAAGTAGTTTAGATGTCAAAATAAGCTGGTTCTCATAGAGCCTCCTACAGAACTGTAGCAGCGACGAGGGTGATCCTGCTGCCGATGCTCGCATTACCGGCTACGATGGTGGTGCACAATAGCAACGATGTTTGTGCTCGACTCTCATATCAAGCAAGGCCTTGTATCGATGTTCGAAGGTAATGCGATGCTGTTGTGAACAGCCAATGCTGTCGTTCGCAGCAGCAGCAGCCGAAGAGTTCTAGTAGCCCCCGATGCCAACATTGTTGACCGGCACAAATCCTTCATTGTCGGTCGTCGACGTTTGAAGAGAGAGAAGGGAGAGATGTATAGATGAGAGGGATAGGAGAGAGAGTGTGTTATGGAGATAAATTAGGGTTTTGATAAATGGATGGGTAAGGTGTGTTTTGATATCTATTTGTGAATAACGAAATTTCATCCTTTATTTTTGAATTGTAATATTTAAACACTTGGGGTTGGGATTATGTAATTTCCAATTCTCATAAATCGAGTTTAGACATGGGCCAAGGATTTAAAGAAGTAGATAAAGTTTGGATCACATTTGGGATTGGGTTTGGGCTTGGTCGCATCCACCACGGTGACGGTAGGGTTGGCAATGGGCCGAGCCGGCTCGGCTCGGCTCGGCCCTTAATGCCACGAGCTCGGCTCATGCTCGTGGCGAGCCGAGCTCGTGGCTCGTTTTCAACGAGCCAAGAATTGGGCGAGCTCGGCTCGGCTCGCGGGCTCGCCTACTTTTTTTTTTTTTAATAAAGAATAGAGTTTCAAAAATAAAAAGTGTTAAAAAATACAAATAATTTAACGAAAACAATTTTTTATTTTTTTTATTTATATCATATTGTAATTTGTAATATTTTTTATAAGTTATAAAATATTTATATAATGAAAACGAATTATTTTTTAAAATACATTTACAAAAAATATTTTTTTTATTTCTTTTTAAAGTTAATAAAGAATAGATTTTTAAAATAAAAAGTGTTAAAAATACAAATAATTTAACGAGAACAAGTTTTTATTATTTTTTTTATTTACATCATATTGTAATTTGTAATACTTTTTATAAAGTATAAAATATTTATATAATGAAAATGAATTATTTTTTGAAATACAGTTACAAAAAATATATTTTTTTGATTTCTTTTTAAAGTTAATAAAATATAAACCCTCCTCCTTTATCCAAGCTTGGGACCGACTACATCAATTTTAAGTAGGCGGAGTTAAAAATTGTACACGAATAACTTGTTGTAACGTGTACAATTTTTTAAAGAAAATTAAATTTAACGATTAAAAAATAAAAAAATTGATTAATATAATTAAATCAAATATTACTTACCTGACGACATGCAATTTCAACGTATTTATCTTGTAATCGAAAATGAGCGTCCTGCCAATCCTTCACACACATTAACGCTTCCAAAACATCTGCTTTCAATCGACTCCTGACATCAGTTAAAACCCTTTTACCTGCACTAAAAGCAGACTCCGAAGCAACAGTGCTAATCGGAGGTGTCAATAGATCTTTCGCAATTGCAAAAACAATTGGCCAACGTCTTTCATACTTTCGCCAGAATTCAATTATTTTTTCTGAAATTTTGTTAATTGTTCTGTTTGTTGGCATATTATGATTGAAATAATCAATTAATTCGGCAGGCATCGCATTTTGAGTTTCGACCGATGTTTGATGAGATGCAGATGACATGGCATTAGATATACACATTGCAGTTGCATCATATCTAAATGTATTAATGCCCTGAAATAAATTCATTATTTTCGCAGCATCTTCTTCAATTTCAGCAGAAGGAGTAGATGCAGCAGAGGGTACCCGACTAACATTTGCACCCATTCTTTCCGCATATAAATCATACATTCCACATAATGTTTGCTCTAAATTCTTATAGGTGATAGGTGTATCAAGTAATAAAGCTTTATTGATTTGATCAATTACGTATTTAGTTCCCGAAATATTATATCGAGGGTCCATTGCACATGCTAAAGGAAATAATATAGGCAGTTCTTCCCAATATTTTCTAAACTTTAATTCCATAGCAATTAAAATTTCACTAAAAGCAGGATCATTTTTTATATTTATGGAATGTTCTTGTAATTATATAAAGGCATTCAAGCACTATACAACTTGTGGGATAATAAACGTCGATAAAATCTTTGTGGTCTCATAAAAAGATGTCAAAAATTGTTTAACTTTCAAAGCTAAAATCCAATCGGATTCATTTAACATACCATCATCATCACTTCTAACATGTCTATTATTATAAAAGTCAGTTATTAAATTTTTGAAACCTTTACATGATTTTAATAGCAAGTATGTAGAGTTCCATCTATGACCTACATCGCTAACAAATGTTTTAGCAGTCATCACCCCTAGTTCGGCACAAAAATCTTCAAATACTTGTTTTCTATTAGGAGAGATCGTAATATAAACTAATGCATTCCTAATCCTTTGAAGTTCATCCTTTATATGTTTTAAACCATCTTGCACAATTAAATTCAAGATATGACACACACAACGAATATGAAACAAATACCCACCAAAATCAGGTTGAAGTGTCCTACACAATTTATTGACGACTACCTTATTAACGCTAGCATTATCAAAAGTAAAAGATCGAATTTTACTCTCACAATGATATTATCTAACAATATTGATAATAGCATTATATATATTATTAGCATTGTGAGAAAATTCAATAATTTTAAAAGCAATAATTTTCTTATGCATACACCAAAGTGGGTCTATATAGTGTGCGGTTGCAGCTATATATGCTCTTTTATTAACCCCTTCCCATGTATCAAAATTTAAGGATATAACACCCTCATATTGTTACAAATCCATAATTAATTGTTGTTTTGAATTATTGAAATAATTTATTGTATCGGCACGAGGAGTGTTTCGACTTACCCCAACGTACCTCGGTTGTAGATATTCTTTCACGAACGAGACGAAGTGTTGGTTGTTTGCAATAGCCAGAGGCAACTCAGTGGCGGCAACAAATTTCACCATTCCAGTTCGAGTCTCATCCTCCGAATACACCCACGTGGATAGGGGTGAAGTTGTATAACCAACGCCTGGACTGCCAAATTGTAATTGTGTTTGACTAGCTGGAAGAAGTTCATGTCTGGCTGCACATGATTTGTAGTGGCGGTTGAGATGAGTGGTACCAATTCCTTTTTGCCATGCCAATCTTTGTTGGCAGTATTTACATACTGCTTTAGATTCTGCAAGGCCATCAACGACTTTTCCCGTTGAAATCAACTTAAAGTGATCCCAACATTTTGC